CATTTGGGCAGGGTGAGAGGGCTCGAGTAGGAAAGGGCTACCCGTGGATGGAGTCGAGAACTCATCACGGCGTGGAGCCACCACTGAGTTAAACCTCACATGCATTATGCTAGGGTTCGATCTGGGTTATGTCGGGCCTTGACGAGGACGTCAAGCTAATTGAGTTGGGGATACTGTAACATCCCATTAGTCCCACATCGGAAGTGGGCAATGTGCATGATTAGCTTATATGGGCCTGATGAGTGTACTACGTTAACTCCCGCTTAAGCATTTTGGTCCGTGGTTGAAGGACCAAAATGGAGTTATTGGCCAGTTGGCTCATCAGACTCGGGTCGTGACAGAGGGGCACGGCTCAGGCGGGCAGGCCACGCAGAGGTGGACTCGGGCAGACTGCGGTCGAGGGGCACGGCTCAGGCGAGCAAACTGCGCAGAGGTGGACTCGGGCAGACTGCGGTCGAGGGGCACGGCTCAGGCGAGCAAACTGCGCAGAGGTGGACTCGGGCAGACTACGACCGAGGGGTGCAGCTCAGGCGGGCAGGTCGTTGAGTCACTGGTTAACGAAGCGCAGCTGGGCTCGCAGGGACCCCGTTGAATCTGAAGATAACACCTCGGGCTCCGGGCGGGCTCTCAGGTTTCTCATTGCTCGATCCTTGAGCGGGGCCGATCGGACCCGAAGCGACGCGGGGAGCTCCGGAGATATCGTGTGAGCCCGAACGGGCGACTCTTGTTGTCGTAGTGGTAGGATCGTTGGTGGGTGCGCCGGATGAGAAATGAGCGGGATAATGGTCTGCACCATCCCAGTCAGAGCTCGGACTTAATGAGCGAGGTATTGAAAGGCCTCGGGCGACGGGTCGGTTGGGGCGCCTTCGGGCGGCGACAAGCCCGAGTCGTTGAATAACCGCCAATAGCGCTCTGAGGTTGCAGCGGGGTGCTCAGTTCGAGGTTCACCATGCGGGGGGCGTTCCCCTGGAGCCCCGATCAGGTGCGACCCCTCAGCTGTGGGTTCGTCTGGGTCAATCTATCGATCCCTCGACATTCGGGCCCCCCTTCTAGCGCTAAACTGTTAGTGTCAACATCTTTACGCCGTGGCCTCGGGGCCAATACGGTTGGGTTCGGGTCCGAAAGATTGGAGATCTTCCTGAACGACCCTTGAGACTGTTGAGGTAGCCGACCGTAGTGGTCCGATCGCGACGGGGTCACTGTTTTCTCCAGGAGGGGACCCCTCGCCTGGGCCTTCGGTGGGAGGCACTCTGTCTTCGTCCTTGCACACAAGTCGGGTCGAGAGAGCTCGACCCGACCCCTCCGACGATCAAGTCAGTCGATAGTCTCAGGGGGTTTTTCTTTTTTTTTCTCCCTCCCTCTTCGTTCCGATCGCGAGGGTTTTTATAGGGAAGGTCACCGTTTCCTGATGTGCCTACTTGTAGGGAGCAAGGTCGTACCTTGGATAATGTTTGACACCGGCATTGGCGTTGCATGAAGGACCGGGCTCCTGCAGGATGGTGACGTGCCTCGGTCGGCATTTTGGTCTGCTTCGGCCAGGCGCTGTCATGTCAGACCCCGCAACTCCTCGGTCTGTGTGACCTAGGAGACGTCACCCGGGAGCAGATGACGTTAGTTCGTGTCCCATCATTATTATTACCCTCATCAGAGGGCACCTTAAATCTGACTATCTTCCTATTTGGACTCATTTAAACCCAATTAAAGTGTGTATTGGTTAGAAACCTGATACTAAAAAAAAATCTAACCTGCTACTGACAGTTAATAGGGTAATAGGATTGCATACAGTAGCATGCTAGAGTTCTTTAAACTTTTTTCCGTAGAAACGAAAGCTGCTGACAGTTAATTTCTTCGTGTAAGAAAAGATGGGGAGCCTGTGGGAATGAGCCGAAATTACAAATTTACTGAACATTTTAGCAAGCTCAAACTTTTATTAGAAGGCATTTTGCTAAATCAATGTGTTTTTTTGTTTGTGTAGGATAATTTCTTTGCCCCTTGTATTGTTTTCTATTATATTTGTCGGGACATAAAGATGCTAATAACTTGACTAAAAATAGAATTATGTTCATGTTTTTAATTTGGGACTTGCATATTAGTTAAAGATGGGTTTGAAAAGTATTGAGCTCAAGTCATTCTAGTAAAGTTTTACGACTACTATTTGAAATTTTTCGTAAAATATAGATCAACTCGAGGTTGACATGTTGGTATTTAGTGCATGAATTTAGAATAAGCTACAATGTGGTCGATCTGAAGGTTGCTCTGATTGTCATTGAGTTGAATATTGCTATAACTATTCTATTTTGCATTTCTTCTTCTCCAATGCTTGTTTTTTTCTACATTCCAGATCTCTTGCACATTCATGAACTTGGTCAGTCATCTCTTTTAGAAATTCCTAGTGACGAATGAAACTTCATATTCTCTTACAAACATGAAATGAGTAAAGCTAAATATTTTCTATAGTTTGTGCTACTCAGCCCTTCAGTTGAATCAAAATTTGATGACTTATTCAGTGCCCAGATTTTTTTCAAACTGGTAGACCTTTGTTGAATCCAATTTTATTTTATTCAGTGACCAAGTTCCTCTGCACGTACATGACCTTTTTGTACTTGCTATTTGAATGTCTGGCTCGCTAGCCCACCTGCTTCCTGCCGTATTGCATATGTGGATATCACATGATCCCTCAAGTCCTACATGTTAACTATGGCTTATGAAATTCAATGGGCATATTGTCAAGTTCGTTCTAGTATGATAGGTAGGATTCACATTTTTCTTCTATATCACTTGAATGGATGAGCTTGACTTCTGAAGCATATAATGTCTGTCTAACCTACTGTAAAGACATCCAGTACCATTAAGCTATTGAAAGTCATGAATTTCACTTTAAATATGTGATTTTTGGTTCTTTTATTAGTCACTGTTTGCTTACCTATACATTCTTCCAGATTGTGTTGCATATATGGAGGATAACATGTTCATTTAAACCTTATGTATTAATTTACCTAAAAATGCACTCGAAATATTGATTTCAGGCGAACTACTAGCAAGTTCCAAATCTGCCTTTGTTTTTGACTTTTTAGCTTTACACTTGCATTCCTGTGGGCTTTGTGCTAGTGAAAGGAGTATCTCATCATTATGAAGCAATCTGACTTGTCGAGACAAATCATATAATATAAGAAATGTATCCATGTTTTGAGTTTTTCAAGAGACGAATCCTTTTGCCTAGTACTTTAGTATTCATATTGTTGTTGGGCATTACACTGGCCAGTTTTTGGCCTGTTCTTGCGTTGCGCGGTGACCGTCGAGAGCGGAGCAAAACGTCAGCCATCTCAGCACCCTGGAACCCCCCGGGTGGCACAGGGCTGGATGGGGCTTTCGTATAGCAGGGACGGTGCTGCCTCTCGCTTCGCTCGCTGTTCGCCGCTCGCCGCTCGCTCGCGCAGCCAAAAATGGCCAGTTTTGGCCCGTTTTTGGGCTGTTTTGTTTTTCAGTTTGATCCTGAAACATTTTAAATTTCTGCTAGAATCTAGTGGGTTCCATGATATTTAATATTTCACTGCCTATTCTTGCAAGAGGACATAGAATGCTTAATTCTTGCACTGGTTTTAGAGTTCTGTTGTCAATTGTATGTTCCAAAATATGCAGCAATGGTCACTCCAGGACAAAGGACAGCCAGATCTGAGTCAGGCCACTGTTGATGAAACAGCTAAAGATGAAAATCCACCTGATGGCAGTTCTGTTGAAGTTAGTGCACAGATGGATAATCAAACTCCTGCTTCAGAAGTCGCGGAGAAGAGTGATGAAGCTCCCGTAGCAGAGGAAATTAATGAAACTCCTGAGGAATCGGAGACAGAATCACAAGAGGCTGCTGAAGAGAAACCGGTTATAAAGGTTTGTTTATTCCTCGATAATTAGAACAAATTTTAGGTTTCATTTTATTTCTTAAATATTGTCATCTAAAGGAATTCTGATTGATAAAATTTGCTTTTGGTCTATAGATTGAGACAGCCCCTGCTGATTTTCGTTTTCCAACAACAAACCAAACAAGGCATTGCTTTACTCGTTATATTGAATATCACAGGTACGATGAGAATATGATCACTGGTACAATAGCTGTTTGTATATTATTACATATTAACTAGAGACAGATGGTGGCATCTGACAGGTGCATAGCTGCAAAGGGAGAAGGTGCTCCTGAGTGTGATAAATTTGCAAAATATTACCGCTCTCTTTGCCCAAGCGAATGGGTCAGCATTCATTCTTTAGTATTACTATCATCTCTGAGTTTGGGTTAAAACTGAGTCCTTTAAGATAAACATAAAGGTTTTAGTTTCTGTATGTTGGAAATTTTGTCTTTTGATTAGCATCTTATTTTTATGGAGCCAAACATGCATCAGAATAGGATTTGATCTTGATCTATGTTGGACTTTGACGAGGACATGAAAATTTAAATGAAAGACTTTTACAAGGGAGATCATAATACTCCGATTTAAAACTTGAATTGTTCTACAAGGGCTTGATGAGAACACTGTCGTTCATTTGAGAATAAATATTTTTGGGAAGCGATTTAGGCACATCAAATTAATGAATCAGATGAATCCTGATAGGATTTGATGTTACACACTGAACTAGGATTTGGTTACTCTTTAATTGAACTCTGACAAGAGAGTTACAACTTTTTAACATAATAACCGAGAACTTTTCTGTTTAAAAGCTGATGTTGGATAAATGCATGGGAGCTTCAATAAGATTTAAGCTATCGGTGCTACTTCCGAGAAACATGGACTGTCTTGCTTGAAATGACAAACAATTATTATGGATGTTTGTTTGGGGTATTTTTATCATATTACTGGAGAATTACCTTTTACGCATCGTTAACTTTTGGCCGCACATTCAACTTAAACAACATTTGCCAGGAAGTAGACTACTAAAGAAAACTCGCATTTGAATTTTGTCAAATTTTGTCATACGTATTAGGGGAATGAGACAGAAAAAGGAAGAATGAATGGTTGGTCTAAGTTTCAATTTTTACAAAATAAGATGGCAAGACAAAATAAATCATTTGACAGAATTAGTTTAGTTTTAATTTCAATTTCTAACCGCTCATTTGCTTCTGCTTTACTTTGTATTTGTAATAAACAAGCAAGAACGGAAACAAGATGGTTAGACACAATTAACAAGTGCATGTTTTTGCAGATCGAGAGATGGAATGAGCAACGGGCAAATGGGACATTTCCTGGTCCTCTGTAGGCAGCTGCACGCTTTATATTTTTCCAGGTGAAAGGTACTTAAAAGAGATGTGGGACGCATCAAAGCATAAATTGTTGCCTAATAAAAAGTTTTTGCTTGTTCTATGTCAAGGAGTTGTTCCAACACATAAGTGATCTGGTTTAGCTCCAAGACTGGCCGCAGTTTTCTCCATGACCTTTTTTGTCTCAACTTCATCAGTTCAGCGGTATGCTGTCTAGATCGGTAAAGCTGGTCTATTTTAATCCTACAACAGAGTATCTTCAATGCTTCAACATGCTTTTTACTCAGAATCACTGGAAATGAATGTTTTATGTGAGAAAATAAAGCCACATTACTGCATCTGTTTTCTAATCATCTCATCACAAGTGCATTGATCGCTTGAGATCAGCAATCGTGAATTATTTGCTACGGTAAGCTCCGGTGCTTTCCCAAGTGACCACCTGGGAAAAATCCACGGGCAACATGATTTAAGAGTAACTTGTGGTCTGCTTGAAGGAGAAGGCATTCGATGATGGATCATCGGATCACGGCTGCCTGGGCATGCCGGTGGCGGTGACAGGGCCTAACTTGACAGGATTGCAGGATACATCGACGCCTTCATGGCCGCCCGAGATGCACCCAGCTTCGCAGGCCTTGCTGCAGTCGAAGTGGGCGGTGCCGGGGATGGTCCTGCACCGCTTGATGCATTTGCAGTAGCATGATTCATCGCCGGTGGCGGTGGCTGAGCGCACCACCAGGCAGATGAGGACGACGGCGAGGGCCTTGCTGCAAGCCATTTGATCCTCCCTTTCGCTGCTGCGAGTAGCTTATCTGTTGTCGTGCTTGGAATTGTAGTCTCGAGTCCTGAAACGCTGGGCGTGGTGGGTGGATACTTATAGCCGGAGGAGCGTAAAGGAGATGAGTAAGTGATGTCAAGTGCCAGAAATAAGCGTCTGATGTGTGAGGCAGGAAGTGGTCTTCGTGTGGGCGGCCTCCTCGAACGTTGGAGGGCCTTTAGATCATTCATGATCGGAGCTGGTCAACGGTGAAACAGAAACAAGTAGTGGATGCTAATCTTCAGATCTATGGGGAATGAATCGGAGGAAGCAACGATGGATAGAAGAAGTTATAAATGAGCTTATCATCTGACTAGCTTGGAATCAGATGATGTATGATGCATAGCCATATCCTTTCCTATATAAATCCCCTGAGGATCAAACACTAAATCCATTCTAATATTATTTATCATAATTTAGACCACTAATAAAATAATTAGCTCATTAATTTTTTGGATTTAGACCGCTAATCTAAAATGATAAAACGCGCATCAATGGTTGATAAGTCAATTCAAATCATCTGAAACTTTCGATGGGACCTAAGCTGGACAATTACATTGTCAAAAATCTACAACTAACGTAAGGTACATAGCCTTCCAAAAAAAAACCAAAAATATATCATGTTCTTGCCAATTCGGCAACCAATGTACTCTCACTACGTCTCTCTCACTCAAAGTCGACACCCACAGGTCATTGTGTCATGATATCACACTGTGTGTGATATCATGTCTTAGAATCGTGCACATGCACCAACCACATGTACCACCATCACACTCTTTTACCTCCTTCCATGCCTTCTGTCTTATCTCTCACACCACTTGCTATGTGATTCTTCTTCTAGAAGCTATAATATATATATATATATA